AAGAAATCTTCCTGGAACCTTTCTATTTATTCTCCAGAATAAGGTAAACGAAACTATTTGCAAAAAAGTAAAGGGGGGGAGTTTTGCTCAAACTGATAAAATATAAAGTATACTGGTGACACTTAAAAGCACAGGAAAGGTTATTGGATATATTAAAAGAAGTTTGAAAAGAAATTACAAAAGGTCGATCGCATGAGAAAGCTGAACTGAGCAATCGTCGTTGGACCTGTTCTTTTAACTTAAGAATAAGGTATATGAATCGATTCGCAAGAAAAGTACCGTAAAGTTAGGAGTTTTGCTCGAAGTTAAGCATTACATTTGAATTTTAAGCTACAGGAAACTTCGTTTTATGATGAGTCTTCCTGAAGAAGTAAGGAATTGTTGTGAGTTTTTTTACATTTATTCTCCAGATCAAGGTAAATGAAACGAATCGCAAGGAAAGTCAAGGAATATTTACAAACCCAAGCAAAAAAATAACGAGTGATAAAATCATCTAAGGACGAGAGCATTTACGGTATTTAAGTGACACGTAAAGGCACAGGAAACCTAAAGTCGGGTATCTCTCTAAAATGAATTTATGTCTGGAGTAAACACAAAATGTGATGGGTGATAAAATGCTGAAGTAGCAAGATTCACTCCTAAGGGGTATTATTAGTTCAACCTATACATTTACGGTATTTAAGTGAAACGTAAAGGCACAGGAAACTGAAAGTCGGGTATCTCTGTAAAGGTATTTATGCCTCGAGCGATGGTTTTAAAATGTTGTAGTAAGAATTCTTCGAGTCACAAGAAATGTCAATGTGCGTATCGAGTCCACCTATGCATTTACGGCATTTAAGTGAGAGTTAAAGGTACAGGAAACGTTATGCATTTGGACTCTAATTTTTTTCCTTAACGTTGAGAGTCAACATAGAGTGAAAAAGTCCAAAAATATGCATTTACATTTAGAGCTTACACAAGACGCTGTAAGTCGTAAAAAAAAATCAAAGTAGAGACTTGTCGGATCTGTGCATTTATCATTCAGAATAAGGTATATGAAAAGTTTAGTCGCATGTGTTTCTCGAACCTATGCGTTTACGGTATTTAGTGACACTTTAAGGTACAGGAAAGGTCATTCGCTGGGTCTCATATTGATCGAAGTTCAGCAAAAGATGCCACGATAAGGTAAATGAAACGATTCGCATGCAAAAAATAGTCGGATGTGTTTCTCGAACCTATGCGTTTACGGTATTTAGTGACACTTAAAAGTACAGGAAAGGTTATTCGTAAGGTCTCGCCACATGTCATATATATATATATATATTTATATAGCAGGATTTAACAAAAGACGCAACAGAGCGTCAAAGGAGGTAGTTCGTTGTTCAAAACCAGAGCGAACATAAAATAAGACAGTTATTAAGGAACCTGAAATAGGAAATCTTCCTGGAACCTTTCTATTTATTCTCCAGAATAAGGTAAATGAAACGATTTGCAGAAAAGTAAAGGGGGGGAGTTTTGCTCGAACTGATACTTGTACATTTAAAATATATTTGTGAAACTTAAAGGTACAGGAAAGGTTATTGGGCATTTAAAAAAAGATTGAAAAGAAATTACGAAAGGTCGATCGTATGAGAAAGCTGAACTAAGAAATCGTCGTACTTTTCTTTTAACTTGAAAATAAGGTATATGAAACGATTCGCAAGAAAAGTACAATAAAGTTGGGAGTTTGGCTCGAACTTATGCATTTAATTTTAAACTTTAAGGTACAGGAAACTTCATTTTATGAGTCTTGGTATATATATTAAATTCTCGAGTGAACAGAAAAAGCTACAGGTCGTAGGAATCCTGAAAAAGCAAGGAATTGTTGTGAGTTTTTTACAGATATCCTCCAGATTAAGGTACATGAAACGAATCGCAAGGAAAGTCAAGGTCGGACATACAGATTTACTGTTTTTTAATTTGGAGTCTTGCGCTAAATTATGTATTCACGGTTTTGCATTTATTTATATATATATATATATATATTTACAAACCCAAGCAAAAAAATAACGAGAAAGAAGAAAATTCTAGCGACGGGCTTGCCGAAGCTGGATAAAATTTAGAGATCTGAGACAAGGACGAATGTGAGATGAAACCCGTTGAACTAAAAAAAAGCCTACTTGTTTGTTTCTCTACAGAGTTACAAGGAACATTTCTACAATGGAACATATATTCCAGGACCACATGCTTCCCACAGCACGCCAAGGAGCAAGCTATTTTCTGTCAAGGGACAGGCAGACTGTTCGTGGGATGGTAACAGAAACCCA